CAGTCGACTGGCGGCCGCAGCTTAGGGTTTGAAGTCTAGACCCTAAACCCTAAACCCTAAACCCTAAACTCTAAACTCCAAACCCGAAACGTTCTCAAACCCTCAGAGGTCCGAGAGAAGGCTCAATGGGCCATCCAGTGGATGAACCGCCCCTCGTCCTGGTTTTCACCACTTCCCAGAATTTTAGGATTTTTGGGGTTTTTTTTAGGAATTTTAGGATTTTTGGGGTTTTTCGGGCGTGATTTTTGATTTGTAAGGCTTGCGGGTTTAAGGGGGTCTTAGGCTTTTCGGGCTTACGGGTTTGTTCAGGGTTTTGAGGGTTGTAGGGCTTACAATACGGGTTTTATGTTCTGGAGTCCGACGGTACCTGGAGGACGACGTTCAACAGCCTTTTGTAAGGTCTGGATGTAGGGTGTCTTGTAGATCACCTGGCACTCTCGGCGACATTCCAAACACCCACTGTTCCGGGGAGTGTCCACACCGCCTTCTGAGCTCATTCTTCAAAGTGCCGGCGATCCCTAAACCCTAAGCCCTAAGCCCTAAACCCTAAGCCGTAAACCCTAAACCCTAAACCCTAACCCCAAAACCCTAAACCCTAAACCCTAAAGCGTCATGGTCCTCAAGGTGGAGCTCGTAGTTCACGCTGTCCATCCGATCTGCCTCTGGGTGACTCCACCCTGCCACTTGGGTTGGGCCGCGACGTCCTTCGTCGTGATGTTGTGCCATCGGCCTGCGCTTCGTTCACGTCCTTGTCTTCCAACCAAAGTTGTTCTTGTCCGAAGGTCACACAGTAGTTGGAGGAATTTTTGAGGTTGTTCCCGTCGCATGCAAGTCGGTGCCGATGTCCTGAGTCACGGATATCGAGGTCCACGTAGCCTCCTTTCCCAAGTGATCCTTCCCGAAGTAGTTCAGGTAGCGAACGACGCCGTCTTGCTCTTTGGTCGCGCGGGTGATGCCATGCACACCGCCATGGCTGACGATGCGGTAAGTGGAGCAGCCCTGGTACTGGACCTCCGGTTTAATGTGGATGGCGCGGAGGCTGCTCTTGCTGTTGGATCGCATGTGCTCGTCGAGGAGCTTCTGGCAGTTCTCATAGGAGTAGTCCCGCTAGTTGAAACTGCCTTGACCGGAGCGGTAGCTCTTGATCCCGGCGTCGGTCCGTGCTTCACTGCTGTGATCGTTGTGCCCGTAGTGCTGGTTGACGTAGACCACCGCCTGGTTGTGGTGGCCGCGGATGAAGTCGCCCTCGCAGATCATGTCGTCATCCCTCGCCCATCCACAGCACTTCACCTCGCCCACTCTGTAGGTCCTCCGTGTACGCTGTGGTGCTTAATGTCGGGGCCTTAATAATTAGAATAGGGTTTGGGGGGTTTCCTTATTACGGTAAAAGTATATCATACCCCCAAACCCTATTCCAATTATTAAGGCCCCTACATTACATAACCCCCTAAACCCTAAACCCTAAACCCTAAACCCTAAAACCCTAAAACCCTAAAACCCTAAACCCTAAACCCTAAAACCCTAAAGCCCTAAACCCTAAAGCCCCCGCATTATGGCGCGGCGGCGCCTTCACCCCCCGGGCTGCTCCGGGCCTTGTCCTCGAGGATCGCTAGCTTGAGCTCCAGAGCCTCGATCTCTGCAGTCACCTCCGGGTCTGGTTGGAAATCCATATGCTATAGGGGCCTTAATAATTAGAATAGGGTTTGGGGTATATTATACTATAATTATAATAAGGAGCGCCCAAAACCCTATTCTAATTATTAAGGTCCTTACATTAGCCGCCCTTCTCCTCTACACATCGTCGCTGCTCCGCTTGGGGCTGGACTTGGTGTTCCCCTTTCCGGTTGAGATCCTCGGCTTCGGCCCAGGAGTCTTTTCGTCCTCGTAGGAGTCGGCTGGTAGGAGGAGTCGACGTCGTCGGGGATCGCGGTCTTGGGGTGGCCTGCTCCTTGTTCCCGAACCCGCGGGCATGCCGAACCAGATCGGGACGGCAGTTGTCGGAGCAGCTCACCTCGCTCATCGCCGACGTCCCGTAACTCTGTGGAACCTCTCTGAACTCGCTGCCACGCCATCGCCAATCGTCCGTCCATCGTCACGCCAGGGATGCGTGTGCCACCAAGGATCTCGTTCACGATTGGACCGGAGGAACTCCCCCTTCTTTCAGCACCTGCCAACCTGCAGCCACCATGGTGCCCACGCCACTCGAAATGAGTGGTCTCTCCCGTCCCACTGCGCGAATCACTTCCTCCTCGATCGCTCACACCCTGACCACCCTGCGACCCATCATCAGATCCAGAAGCGTCACCACGTTGTCTGGGCTCGACGGCTCTCACCGACCCCTAGGCTTGGGACGGGTGGTGCATCAGGAGGTTCCGGGGCCGTTGCATTCGGCCCTCCAGCATCACCACGAACGTCGCCTGCGAACCCCGGAGGCGGACCATCGGTACTGGTTCGACATTGTGTCACAACTGCGGCCCTACAGGAGCACCCAGGCTCCGCTACGAATTCAGCTGAGACACAGCACTAAACAAACGAAGCCGGCCTCGACATCGCGAGGGCTTTTCCACGTTCGGACCACAAGCCTGCGACCATCCTGTGCCAGAGAACGGCTCAGGAGAGGCACCACCCCGTGAAGCTTCTGCACAGAATCAATCATGACTGTTCTTGCACATAGAATTGCGAGACCAAGGGACAGCATTGCTAATACGATCATTGTGCGTCACACTAAGCCCTGAACCCCAAGCCCTAAAAACCTAAACCCTAAACCCTAAACATCCCTAAACCCTAAGCCCCAAACCCTAAACCCTAAAGCCTGACACCCCAAAATTTCAGCCCGAAGTCCGAGGTCCATGCGACCCATCGCTTTCTGCCCCCTTGACACACCCATAAAACATAAAGCCCTATAAACAGTCCACCAATGCACCTTCGAGAATCCTTAAAGTCTCCCCTATAGAGCGCTTAAGACAGGTAAGGGATCCCCGTGTGGAACCCCTGATTCTCCAACAGCTGGAACCCTTATGGCTCCCTTAACAGAACTCGGCTAATCCTCTTAAAGAGGCCCCTCGTAGATGCCTTACAGATCTCCTGTAGAACTTTGTTAGGTCCTGTGACTTTTCCGAAAAAGAGAGCTTAAATCCCTTGAGCCCTAAATCCTAAACCCGAAGTTTCCCAAGGTGAGAGCAGCTTTGCCGAGCGCATTGTCGCCTTCGCGGCCGTCGAGGGAGCTGCTCGCAGGGATTATGACTGTAATCATGGGGTTTATGGTTCGGGATTTCGAGTCTAGGAGTTCAGGGTCGAGGGCTTAGAGTGTAGCGTAGGGGGTTAGGGTTTTCATTACTATTCGTCTTCTTTGGCCCAGTGGCAACTGGGCAAAGAAGAATAGTGGCCTGTGGCTATCACTCATGTTGCTGTTATCCGTGCTATTACCCGTGTGTTGGGCATCAGCAGTATTAGCATTATCACCCTGACATTCATGTTAGTTATTACTCGTCGTCGTCGTAGTAGTGGTGGTAGTAGTAGCAGCAGCAGTAGTAGTAGGAGTGGTGGTGGTAGCAGTAGAAGTGTCAATGGTGGTGGTGGTGGTGGTGGTAGTCGTAGTCGTAGTCGNNGTCGTAGTCGTCGTAGTAGTAGTCGTCGTCGTCGTCGTCGTAGTAGTAGTAGTAGTAGTAGTGGCAGTACGAGGTGAGATTGCTATTGATTGCGCAGACCTCTCTACCGGGCATCCCCAATTCTCTGAGTGTTACATGTCGGGGTTGCAGGGTTAAGCAGAAACCACAGCAAAAATCCCAGCCCTCAAACATTCGAATCCCAAGAACCATAAAAACCCGGAGCCCTGAACCCAAGAATCCTAACCCCTAAGCCTTGAGCCCTAAACCCTAAGAGCCCCCCAAAACTCACAGAACCCTAAACCCTAAACCCTAAACCCGGAAACACCCAGATCCTCTTCAGCGGCTCCTTCTGCGCGATCTTCTGGCTCAAGAAGCCGCTGGGAAAAGCAACCGGGGCCTTAGGTGTTTAGGGTTTAGGGTCTAGGGTTTAGGGTTTAGAGTTTTAGGGTTTAGGGTTTAGGTGTTTAGGCCCGAACACCCCGAAACCCGAAGCCCCTAAACCCTGAAACCTGAACCCTAAACCCTAAACCCTGAACCCTAAACCCTAAACCCTAAACCCCAAACCCTGAAACCTAAACCCTAAACCCTAAACCCTGAAACCTGAAACCTGATGACAGGCAGGGTAGTTCTCCAAATGAGGGTCCCGTATTGAATCCCCGACCTCATAAAAAGGACCCTAAAAGGGACCCGACTTTAGAGAACTGCCCAGGAGAGGAATGATGCCAGGGCTGACTTTCTCGAACGAGCTGATCTCGCGGGACGAAGGCCGCCATAGCTTACTTCACGGGGCCGCAATCATCAGAAATGGGGTTTTGGGCTTCTTTAACGGGTTCCCGTTTAAGGGGTCGTTAAGGGTTACTATAAGGTTTCATATAGGGGCCTTAGTAATCAGAATAGGGTTTTGGAGTATGTTATAGTGCAACCTTAGTAATGAGAACAGGGTTTTGGGGTATGTTATAGTGTACTTACAGAAGGAACCCGAAGGAATAACTAGTTGGGCCCGCATGTTACAGGGTTCAGGGTTCCTTCGTGAGGGTTTCTAGAGGGGTTCTGTACAGATTCTATGAGAGTTTAGGGTTTAGGGTTCATAGAGTTTAGACTTTGGCGGTTTTGGGGTTGAGGGTTTAGGGTTTTTGGAGTTCCGGGTGTTGGATGGTTCGGGCTCATGGGTTGAGGACGGAATCCAGAGTTGAGCCAGGGTTCTGGGACTCAACCCATAAGATCTGGGTTTCGGTTTTGGGGTGTGGGAATGCCTGATGCTCCTTGGGACAGCGAGCAAAAATGAGAAGAAGAGATGGGTTAAGCTTTGGGCTTCGCATCTTCGCAGCCCTACATGCGCAGTCGCTACCTGATGGGTTTACGCTATCGTAGGTGGCTCTCAGAAGGGACATGCTGCGGAGCTGGGCGAATGAGTCTCGAACCTCCAAACGCGCGCGGGGGTGGAGGTGGTCAGTCAGGGCTCTTGGTTCCGAAACCCTAAGTCCTAAGTCCTAAACCCTCGAGCCTAGACATCACCAAACCTTGAAGCCTACTTTCCAGCCGCACTTGGGCGAAGGCCTCCATGCAGACTTCGCATGCCTCATCTACCAGTCCCTTGGCCGTTATATGGAATTAGCTCACAATATGTTTTTATATAAGGTGATATCATATGATATAACATAGTTTTCACATAATGTAATATATTATAATGTAATATAAGATAATATATGATAAGATAATATAGTATAATATAATATAATATAATATAATATAATACAATATAATATAATATAATATAATATAGTTTAAAATAATATAATATAATACCATATAAATTAACATACTATAATATAGTATAGTATAGTCTAATGCAACTGACTATAATATACTACAACTCGACAGTAGTACTACTACTTAGAGCAATATTCGTTTTATGGCCCTTACTAGTAGCCCCACTATAGTCCGTTGCTGTATGGGGGCAGTACCCAAATGCTACCCCTAGACACTAAACCCTAAACCCTAAACCCTTAGAAACCCCTATAAACCCTTATAAAACCCCTATAAACCCTTATAAACCCCTACAAACCCTA